AATATTTAAACATTGCTAAAGTAAAAAGCACTTCAATACTCACTTGTTTATGCTAATAACTCGAAGAACAATGTGTGAATAGAAGAAAGTTGTTGTTTTTTACTTTTTTATATATTTTTAATATTCATAAAAACAAGATTTTGCTTGAGTAGCATGAAGAAGTTTCAGCAGAAGGACTGATTGATGTGCAGGCTGACAGCGCGGTGTCATTTCTATTGATTTTAACCACAAACAGCTGATTTATGTCCACCAACAGAACTGATTGTACAGTGAAGGAAAACGTCTTCCACTCTTCGGTGTGAACCGTCTCTTTAACCCGGCTTCGGTGTCGCTTTAAGTTCTTCTCTTCCTCCTGAAGCTCCAGCCGAGAGTCTTTTGTGCCGCTGTCGGCGGATTGAAGAGTGGGCGGCGACACAATGCGAGCCGGGACAGCGGTAACCATGGGGATGCGTGGTTTTGACTGGATTATGTCCGTCTCTCATTGTGGAGAAAAGCTGGAAACATAATTCACTGCAGATAATAATGAAATATTTGTGAGAGAGAAGTCTACGCTGCAGCAGCTTCAACCGAACCACAGTTTGATTTTTATATAAGCGTCCACTGGTCATGTTTTATAGATAATACTGCACTTTAATATTAGGACTAACTATCTCTACAATGTAATAAACACTGCTTCTTTATTTCCCTTTTAGCATTATCTTGCGCTAGTTAGCTTTAGCTAATGATTTCTGCTATCGTCTAAAAGCTGCTTTTGTAAGAAGACGTGTTTTAAAATACTATTGTTATAATGGCATCGTAATGAACTGCGTTGTGTATGTAGTGGCTTATCTGGAGAGCATCAAGTAAAAACAACACAGGTGAGGGAGAGCTTCACATTATCATCTTGACAATTGTTGGACCACTCAGACGGGGAGAGATGCTGCACTTGACGGCAGCAGAGAGGGAGGGAGAGTTTTAATACGAGTTAATTGTAGTGGAGGATGCTGGGAGGTGAGAGAGGTGGGAGGAGGACGTGGGCGAGCGAGAGAGAAGACCTCCATGTGATGGTGAAAAGATGCTCAGAAGTTAGATATGTATGGTGAACATTTCAGTCCTCAAAACATTGAACATTGAATATTTAATATCTGCACCTAACGATTCCTTTCACTGTCGTCTGATATCATGATTAACAATCTTTAAGTGACATTTAAAGAACAATATATTTAAACAGTTCTGAATGACACTGTTGTCTCCATCTATCATCCTGTCGTCTCTCTCTCTCTCTATTTCCATCCTTCCTGTTTTCAACCAGTGTCATTACTGTCTCTCCTGACTTGTCTCTCCATTGTTGCTATAAATACTCCTCCTGAGGAGTCACAGTTCTTCTGGCTTCACCACACAGACACAGTAACCAGTCATTTGCTCCTCTCTCTCGCTCTCTCCCCCCCGTCACATCTCTCTGCATGCTCTCTCGCCCTTCGTCCTGTCTTTAAATGACATCATGCTTTCAGGTCGAGCGTCTTGCATCGGTCTGTGTGGCGACTGCAGACTTTAACTGTGCTGCAGCAATCATTCGAGCAACAGGAGGTTTACCAACATGGCCACATGTTGCCAACACAGGGCAAACATCTGTATATGAATGGAGTTTAGTTGTTCCTGGAATATAAGAAACATGTTGATGAGACATTCTGAGTTATAGTGATGTCAACACAAGCAGTTCATATTGTAATGTTGGAGTCGCTGAGTTAGCCCTGTTTTTTAGCTTATATTTGTTTACATTTTGGCTTTAAAACTGCCAAAAAAAGCTATTAGCAGTTCGTGTTTACAGTGTTCTCATGGCTGTACAGATAACTTGGATACTGAAGAAAACATGATGATTCTCAGGCAAGTTTTGAAGTTTTTCTTAATGCTTTTTAAGTGGATTTATGAACGTTTTTTCGTGATGTAAATCACACTGAATCTGAAAAATGTGCATCATGTCCGTGTGTTAAGATGTGACTGAGTTAGGAGTCAGTAGAGACTGTAGAGCGAATATTAGACGTCTATTCGTCAATAACTACTTAAATACTGTCGGGTGTGTTTTCACCTGCAGCGTTAAATTCCTAATGAACACACACACACACACACCCCCACACACACACACACAGTGTGAGTGAAACGTCAGTGGGCGAGCCAGAGAACACACCCTGACACGATGATGCAGAATAGAAACGCAGAGTTTGTACTCATTGCTGTTTAGAATGGATGACTTGGAGGAGGGAGTTGGAGCAGCAGCAGCTAATCTGGACCACAATATTTGTTTTTCACATAAAACAATCAATAATTCTGCAACTACCTGTCATTTTCACATTAGATTAGTCTGCTCATTACTTTGTCTATAAATCAATCGTTTGCTCTATAAAAAAAGAACGGAGATCAAAAATAAATCCATCCTAGTTGCCCAAAGTGATGTCTTCAAATATGCACCAAAACACAGATATTAATCTTACTTTAATGTGAAGAAAAAGCAGCAACTCTTCCCGTTTGATACATTTTCTTTCATTGACTAATTGTTGCAGCTTTAATAAGGACAGATCCTCATCTTAAGTTATTCTTTTATGTAACTGATTGTGTTTCAAGGACTATCAGCTGTGAGGATAAATGCAGATAATTGTAGTCTGTTAACGGGAGGTTGGAATAGCAGTATGTAATATTTGTGGTGAGAAACATGTTGAATTTTGATGCGTTTTTAATTTGACATCAGCTTTTTAGACCCTTTTTCTAGAGTGTTTTGGTTGTGTGTGTGTGTAAGTCACGTTGTGCTGTGAACTGTAAGACCACGTCAACATAGAGAAGGTCACATCTCTGCCTCAAGATGTCTTCTGTCTCTCTCTCTCTCTGTCTGTCTGTCTGTCTTTCTGGTGTTTTTGTGCCGAGTCATGGTGCCGTTTGCTGACTGCAGGATCCAAACAGACTCCCAACGCTGAGTCGCTGCTGCTGACTCGCTGCTCTCGGTTTACCTGCTCTGTTCGTTCGGACTTGTTGAGCGACAGCAAACGCACCGTCTACAGTTTAAAAAGCAGTTTTTAAGAATTACGTTTGTTGATGAAGCACATTTCTTACACATAGGCAATAATGCATAATGGATAGTCTGTTCTATACACAATTTAAAATAGATTGAGTCTTTTTTGTCCTTGCTGTCTTCGTCTTTCAGCGTGTGGACGAAGCAGCAGGAACCTCTGCATCAGAAAACCCTTTTAACTCCAACTCTGTTTCCACATCAGGTCACGCTTCACCTGCTGTCCCCTCCCACTGTGACGGCATCATTTAATACACTGTGCAATTATACACCAGACTCTCATTCACAGTGTTTAATGAGTGTACAGTATTCATTAATTAATAATCATTATGAAGGATCTGGGGAATCTGATGATGTGCTCCCATCATGCACAATTTTACCTTTGGACATAAACGTGATCATGAACTACTCAGCTGTTTACTGCTTATTAAAATATTTTAATTGCCTTTCTAATAGATCTCTTAAGGTAGAACTTGTGTGTAAGGTGCGTCCGTCACAGCTCTGAGCCGTGTGTGCGTTTCTCAGATCTTGTAGTAACGTGTTGTGACCAGAGGGAGGCGCCATTCTCTCAGTTTTCAGATAAACTCACTTACTGCAGATCAGTAAGAGGCTGCAGCCAATCACAGAGCAGAGTGGTGGTCACATGACATTCAAATCCATCAGGGCGGGCTGCTGCTCTCTGATACATTTCATGTTGTCATAGTTTCAATCACTTTAACAGTAAAGTTTACTGTTTCTGAATCACTTTCTCTCAATGAACTGACATTACAGCTTTCAGCGTCTGATAATAAGTTACGTAAATTATTGTAGCAAGAGAATAATAGATCTGCTGCAGATATTTTGAGATGCTTCACATTAAATCAGTGTCATAACCAGAACAGACTTATCCCCATTATCTGTCATTATATTGGGGAAAAAAATGTAGACATTGAGAAATACAAACTTCTCATGTATGATGTGAGTTGGATCTGTGTTCATATAAGCTTTAAACTAATCGAGGGAAACAGACACTGACTGTCTTCATTCTATTGTGTTCAACATCCGTTGAAGATCCTGTAGCGGCGTCTCGTCCCGGAAGCACGAGGCCACATCACGTTCTCTCCGATCCAGCTTGTGAACGCATTAAAACACTGAAGTCCACTGTCAGCATTATGGAGAGTGCTGTTCAGTTCTTCCTGGTATTACATGGACGGAAGTATTGATTTAAAACTGACACCGATGACTGAAAACTGCATCAGGTGTAGACGGGCCACAAGAGAGAATATGTGAAGGCGGCGTGTTTAAGGTGAAACGTAACGTGAAGTTGCTTTTTAATCACAAAGGAGCGTTATAAAAGGGTTGATAACTTAGAACCAATATTAGCAAAAGAAAACATCAAAGAAGTCAGTGTTCCATGCTGAAAATGTAAAGCTGAGGTCAGTTTGTGTTCTGTATTCTGTGTTTAGACGACTCTTCTTCAGACTTTGCTGTCTAAGCTATTAATAATGTATTGATTCACACTCTGTATTTGTATGAAATCATACATCATGTGGGACCTACAGTCAACTTCCACTAACTCAGCCTCTCTTTGTGTCTCTGTTTTGATCTCTGCAGGTTTTGAACGAGTTTCTCAGGCCCGCCAGAGCCGGTCTGAGAGAGAGAGAGTGTGTGTGTGTGTGTGTGAGTGTGAGGGCGTGTGTGTGAGGGTCCCGTCGCTAAAGGCGTCAGGCGGCAGGTGGAAGGACTTGGAGGTGGCAACGGCGGTGGGGGCGGAGTCACGGCCAGGTCAAGATGACGTCTGTAGCGGCGGAGTTCGACCACATGGAGATCCAGCAGCAGCAGTTCAGCACCGAAGGCGTCAACAACCGCTGGGACGCCGACGACTGGGACAACGAGAACAGCTCGGCTCGCCTGTTCGAGCGCTCACGCATCAAAGCCCTGGCAGGTAGGAGGAACCGACGGACGAGTGGATGAATGTTTGGTGGCGTTTCGGTCCTGGTCTTTAACAGCTGGCAGGGATTCTTCTGAGCTTCAGAAAGGCCGAGCTGATTCAGGTTGTCGTCCTGGGTGAAATTACTTGATTTGATTATTGATTTGACAGAAGCCTGGATGTTTCATTTCTTTAAATCTAGCATTAAAAGGTATCTGTAGCTCAGCAGAAAGCAGTAAGTCCTCAAAGCCCAACATGTAAAGTTTAGGTTTATTCTCAGTTGGCTCGAACAAAACCAAAACTTTTAATGGCAAACCTCCAAACATAAAGTTGTTTGTAGATGACACCTTTCTTTACCGTGTGTGTGTGTGTGTGTGTGTGTGTGTGTGTGTGTGTGTGAGTGTGTGAGTGTGTGTGTGAGTGAGTGAGTGAGTGTGTGAGATTTTTTTGTCGATTTTCCTCAGCTTTAAGCAGAAGCTGTGCTCACATTTCCTTTATTTTGAGTTCAAAAAAGCTGGATGCGAGTTAACCGGATCAGTTTATCCGGCTAACATCATAACGCTGGATTAGTTGAACCACGTTGGAAGAACAGAACTCGGTGTTGCATCTGACCGGGGCTGTTGTTGTCCGTTGAGAACTCGTATCTTTTAGTCTTGGCTTCGTCCTGTGTGTGTTTAAGCTGCTCAGCGGGAGTCTCTCTCTGGTTTCATAAGTTTGCAGAGTTTGTGTCAACACGGAGAACAATGAACCTTCTCAGAACACAAACTGAAACATGAAAATCAGCAGTATGATGGAGGATGAAAACAGAAACTTTCCTTTTGTGGTGGTGAAATGATATGTTTGGGCCCCACGTAGTCTGATGTAGAACAGTTGGTGACTCGACTCACACCGATGTTGCAGGAACTCAGACTGCTGGCTCTCTGCTTCATCACTCTGCAGGACCTCCTCCGCCAACACACCTGTTAATAATCAGGAGTTAACGAGGCTCATTAACGAGTCTAACATCTGGCCTTTTATAACACTTGCCAGTTCAACTGTCTCGTACCCAGAGGAAATCCAGATGCGATTTTAATACACTTTTAGTCACACTCAGTCACATGCCTCTCTGTTAGTGAGATCACAAATGTGTTTACAGCGCGTCTTTGTTTTCTGGGTTACATTTAAATCAGTCACGCCTCCTCCGGTCCAGAAGAAGGTGGTGATGCACATGAAGCTGTTAGATCACTGACAAAAACACCAGAAGAAGAAGAACTTCTGCATTTCAACAGTTTAGTTACAACAATAAGATTTCACCGAACATTTAACTTAACACAAACGCATATATTAATTTCTATGACTGAAACGTATCATAGTCAGTAGTCAAGTTCACCACAATCTTTTTCCTAAACCTAACTATGTGGTTTTGTTGCCTGAACCTGACTTCCTGTGAAGACGGGAGTTTATTTTGAAAAGACACAATTATGCATTTAACGTGTGGGAACTGACGCTAGAGGGGGACCTAGAGCGTCAGTCTGAAGCTCAGGGCCACCAACGGAGCGTCGGTATTTCACGAGTTTTCGGGTGAGAAAGTGTCTTTCAGGTGTCAAACAAGACACATGAAGTTGGCTTGGGTCTTCATCGACATATAAACTGCACAAACACTGCGCTCTTATACGTTCACAGTGATGACTTTATACTCACCACATCCGCACTCAGACACTCCCCAATGTTGCATATACGACCTACGCACTGAGGTGTTCCTTAAAGGAGCTAGCGGAGCCGGCGGGCTTACAATAGGCTGGCGGGAACCCTGTCTTTAATTAGGCCAATATTCTAATTTCAACAAGGTGGACCTTAAAAGATGTATGATGAGTTATTATTGTTGCTCACATGCTTTAGTGATGTGTGTGTTAGTTACTGTAACTCTATTACTCTCTCCGCCTGCTGTTTTTATCCTGATGGCTGACTGCTTCTGTAGTGTCCCACTACACTAAATAATTCACACGGTGTTAACTATGCAGGAGAGTGCTGATGGTGTGTGTGTGTGTGTGTGTGTGTGTGTGTGTGTGCGTGCTTTTAAAGGTATGGGGGTGGAGCTTGTGTTTCTTAATGGCTGCTGAGAAGTTATCAATAGTGTTAAAATACTTCACTAAACCATAAAGTGCTTCGTCCAGAGTTGACATAATAAACATAATTTATGTGAAAATAAAATGCCACTTAATTTTTTAATTAAGAGTATGGAAGTGTTTAAGCTATGTCACTGCACACAAAAATGAATTGTGTAGCTACATTTAAGACTCAATCTAAAAAATAAACATACCAAAGATAGATATGAGAAATTATTATTAATATGCAATTTAACATGAATATATAACTAATGGCAGTGTCCACTTTATTAGGGATACTTGTACAATCGAATGCAATCCAATACAACTTCTCTACCATAAAGCCTTTTATTATTCCTATAATGTTCAGGTTTTGTTGACTTCCTTTGAGGTATTAATAAATGAAATCGTATGTTTTATCATTTAAGTCCTAGTTTCTTTAGAAACAGCTCTCAATAGAGCGCTGCAGGGATAACGCATTTTTAGAGGCCAACCCGGAAGTTAGCCCCACACTGGCTCCCTCAACTAAACACCCAAAGGATGTGATGTGTTTTCTAAACGTAGTCTGAATGTCCGGTTTGTGCCTTTCTTCTCCTCCTCGTCCCGTTTAAAGCCTCTTCCTCTTGGTGCTGAGTTCAGCAGACTGGAGGATGTGTGGGGTGATGACATTGAATTAGTGCTGTATTTGATACAGGCTGAGTGTGCGTGTATGTGTCCTTCCTTCCTTTTGATTACATGTAGTGTCTTTGTTTCTGCTGTTGGAGCTGAATACCAGATTACCAAACTTGTATTTTAGCAGTATTTAGTTCAAATAGTTGTACCAGATGCCGCAGTGAAGGAGTTTGCATACCTAAAATCAGGACTTTTATTAGCAGTAGTTGAAGTGGTATCAGTAGGTATTGTTGGTAGTAGTAAAAGGAGAATCTGAAGTAGTTTCATTAGTATTTGTAGTAATGACATTAGTACCTGTAGTATATTGTTTGTCGTAACACTTTGGTGTCTTTGGAGGAATACAGAATAATCTTTATAAACTCTGTTTTGTGTAGAAAATAGTCAAATCTACAAAAAATGATTTGTTTAATTAGCGATGAAATGTCAAACTTGATCTGCTTCCAGCTCCTCCAACGTGAGGATGAGCTGCGTTTCTTTTTCCATCACTGTGATCGGAGTTTCCTTGCAGCTCTGACACTGAAGTGATCGGAGTGTGTTTTATTCAAACCTTCAGCAGCAACGTCTTAAAACTGTGTGTGTGTGTGTGTGTGTGTGTGTGTGTGTGTGTGGCCTCCATATGATATCCTTGGAAACACAAAACCGCCGTCACCATGGAAATGCAGGCATATCTACTTACAGTAAAGGCAGAGACAGGAGTGTGTGTTTGTTCAGTGTGGGTGGGTTTGTAAGTCTATGCGTGTGTGTGTGTTTGGTATATTGACTTTATGACAAATAGAACTGCCGTAGCTCATACAGTAGATGCTTTTAATATGTTGTCTGTATGTTCATTTCTCCCGTGTTCTATTTATGTAAAGTTAGATTCCTTTAGTCTTAATTCCACTCAGGATCTCACTTAAACACGCCTACAAACGTCGCAATAACTAATTTTATGCCACAGACGTAATGATAATATAATAATGCAAGTGCAGCCTTTCAAAGAGCAATTCACTTTTAGTTCTTAAAGATATTCAGACATTTGAATGAAACATTGACAGAAAACACATTTATCTTTAAGTGAAACTAATTAAATGTGTGTCGACCTGTCGGGACCTTGGCGGTGGCCCTGAAGTATTTCTGGTAGCTCAGAATACCTTCTGTTGAAGGAGAGGAGACGCTTGTCTCTCAGGAGGACTATCGAACCTCAATACATGCTCGACACCGACCGAGCTTTTTGTTTTTTTTGTAGAAAGTAGAGCTGCAACTACCGATAACTACAGATCGTACATATGTATAAGTAAGCATGCTCTGGAAGTTTGCATGCAGAGATTAGAGAGCCGGCTGTTAGAGGTGTAGTTCAGCGTTTTGAGAAAAATGCTTATTTGCTGTTTTTCTGAGATCGATATCGCTCTCATGCTCAGAAATAGTTCCAGTTCATGTAACTTTAACTAAAAACACAAACTGCCATTTTTACATTTCTGGTAATATTCTTGTACAATATATACACTACAGAGTCCAGCTGTTGTAGTCTCTGTAGTTGAGAAGACAAAACACGTCATCTTATTCTGTGGGAACTTGTAATGGACATTTCCATTACAAGACTAAATTGATTGCCGTTTAGAATTAATCAATATTGAATATCAATATAATATAACAATATTTACCCTTTGCAAGTAATTTCCATAGAAAAAAACACTTTGGAAGTAAAATCTGAACCAAAGCTCTGAGTTAAAGGCAGTTTATTGGCTCAATTTTTAGTTGGTAGGACGTAAATGGAACGTTAACACATACGTGATACTGGTGAGTGTTTATAAATGGAGTGTATTGATCTGCTGAAGCAGAGGACTCATTCAGCCGCTCAATAATTAGAACCAGGAACAGTCCAGGATCCCCACAGAGAGCAACACACACACACACACACACACACACACACACACACACACACACACACACACACACACAGGAGTGTATGTGTCCCACTTCCTGTTCAGAGGACCAGATGGTGGAATGCTGGGAATGTTGGTGTTTGTTGGTGAATGTGTGTAAAAAATATCAGTGAAAGTAAAGGAGCTCAAAACTTCTGTATCTTCTCTTCGTACGGGAATATTAATTACATCATGAGCCGCTACATTACACAAAATGAACCACGAAAAAAGAAAGAAACAATATATAGATGAACTCTAACATAAATAGTAACTACTGAGTGTAATGAGACAGAAGTATTCACAGCTACAGGAGGCAAAGTACAAGTTTCAGATCAGATGCATTTAAACAAAAAACGCTGCTCATCACCAGACTCGCCGCCAACATGGCCGCCGTTGGCCCTGTTGTTGTTTGCTGGTGCTCTGACCTCACAGGAATGTCTTTGTGTGGTCAGGAGGGTGAGGCGGCGTGCCGGTGCAAAATTCCCCACTGCAGCGACACAAGTTTGAACCCTGAATGCACCAGCAGCAGCAACTCTGTAGCGTCTCATCACCGAATGACTTAAAGTAGGAGTTATGTATTTTAGCAGCAGCATTGTTTAAGGAAGCGCTTGGTTCCCCGGGGCGTCCTCTGTGAGCATTGCGGTCTGACTCTGCTCCTGCTGGATGAATGGTCCGTTTGGTTCGTTGGCGGGGGCCGCCCTCAGGGGCCGAGCCACGAGGAAGCCAGATGACGGGAGGAAACGCGGCATGCAGGCGGAGGACACAACGTGTTGTCATGTACAGATTACCAACAGAACATAAAGAACGGCTCTGACTGTTTCAGCTGCAGAAATATTTGGTCCATCTGTTGTCCGTTTGCCACGACCTCTGACCCTTGACTTCTGCACTGATGTCTGTTTGTAATGCCGGTGATCTGAGAGCTGAAGCTGGTTCTACTTTTCATGTTTAACAGACCAGGATGCCGTTTACATGTCCGTTGGTAACCTCGGCCTGACCCGAAGTTCCCTCTAGTGCTGCTGTTTATATAAGATTGAATCAGTCTTAAGATATTTTGTTGAGCAGGAAACGTCCACAAAAAAACAAAAGTAAAGAAACACACAAATGAACCTTTTCAGAAAATATAAGTGAAACATGTGGGCACACAATTTAAAAAGAACAAGCTTCACATAAAAATATAAATAACATAATTGCCACCTTATAAAATAAATATTTCAGATATGAAACTCAAGGTTCACTTACTCGCTTATTCTGTAACTTTCAACCATGTCCCACGGCCTTCTTCCTCAAAAGGAACTCGCTCAGGTGTGATGGCCGACGTAGACGACCAAAGAACATGAATGAAGTTATGTACTGAGGTCATGTGATGACACCCGAGCAACGTTTATTTACCAAAGAAGCCGGGGGATGTGGTTGAAAGCCGGTAAAAAGCTAGTAAGTGGACATTGAGGTCATGATTTATTTGTCATAACTCAAAGTTAACCAGCATCTCCTCAAATGTTCAGCTTTTTAAAAGTGAGATCAGAGTTTCTTCTCTTTACTGTTTCTGACCCGTTGAATGTTGTTACAAGAACTAGAATAAAATAGTAAACGTATCAAAAACCGTTCAATCAAAGAATGTCAGAATGAGTCTGACCAAACATTTGCTGCCAACTTTCAGCACTAAAACACACACAGAGGTTTGATGCTCAGTCTTAAAAGTGAGTCGCTTCATTAAAGCGAGTGAGAGGAAGCGTTTCTGCTGGTTGACTGTGTGACCTTTGCTCTAGTTTTGTCCGTGAATGATCGACTTCAGTGAGTAAAAGTGAAGTAAACTCTGGTTGGAGTTGGCGGTTTTTTTTTTTTTTGTTTTTTTTGTTTTTTGAATCAGCAGGTCAAAGGTCTGTGAGTCACAGTGAAGACCGTTGACTTTTATTCGGTGAACAAAAGCTTCACTGTCTCATCTCGAAAAACCTTTAAGCTCCTCACCACCGCTACCTGCTTGAAATGTTTGTAAATGTGTCACGCTCGTGAAAGCGTGACTAAGATATAAGAAACAAGTCTTCTGTCTCGTCACTGGACGAAGACGATTCTGAATCATTCAAAGATTCTTTGCAGGAAATCATCTGCATGTGTTTCATTTCCTCAAGAATTTTCTTGTTTCTTTTCTGTCCTCTGCAGTTATTTCAGGGTCACATGATTATTTGTTCCATGTATTGTCTTTGTGTCGTGACCTCTGAACTCTCCCCCCCTTGCTTGTTGCTTGTGCGTCCCGTCGGTTCACACAGGAAGTGGAGCTGATTCTTCTCTGCTCAGGTTTCTCCGTAATGCCCTCACTCTTCCTGAGACTCCTCCTTCATCCCAAACCTGCAGTGTTTTTCCTGCAGGTTGAAGCTGCAGGTGTGTGTGTGGATGGACGGACGGACGGACGGACGGCAGGATCAAACAGGAAGTGCTTGCGGGGCTCAGACAGGAACAACATGGCTCTAATATTAGAGCTCAGGATGTTTGGATGTCTGTGTGTTTGAGCGATGCACACACACACACACACACACACACACACACTTCTTCCTGTTCCTTGGTACAACTCATCCTCTCTGCACACACAGTTTTACTTATTGACTTTATTGGCCTAATGAAGCAGTATTACCACAGTGAATTGAAGAATTTTCACGTGTGTGTGTGTGTGTGTGTTTTCATGGTTTCTCTGTGAATTGTCTCTCAGTCTGTTTTCCACCCAAGAAGCTACATTTCTCTCACTCGGGCATCTCGAAGATATTCACATACAAGACGACAGGAGTTGTTTGACGGGCCTGTAGATAACTTCGGCACACTGACATCACACGCAGTTATGTTTTTAGCGTGTGTATGTACAGTAAAATAAAATATGCAGGTTTATGTGTAGGTTTCTAAAAACAGCTTTAATGGTAAATTAAACCTGATCCTCATTGTATTGATGCCTTATTTATTTGGGTTTTTGTAGTTTTGCGGCGGTTTCCAGTCACGTTGAAGCAATTATTTAAGAAATATGATTTTTCAGATTTGAGACTTTCACAAACCCAGAAGTTGAACAACATACTTTGTATTAAAGCTGTATTTGATCCCTGTACATTTATGGTAATATAAGTTAGCTTTCTCTTGCTTTAAAGTAAAAGAACAGAACAGATGAACAGAACTGCTTTTTAACAGGAATATTACTTTTCTGTCTAATTTAATCTTGAGTATGAACAGAAACTCTCTCTCTCTCTCGTTCTTTCTGTTTGTCTTTCTCTCTCGCCCTCCTCCCACTTTGCCCCTTATGCTAACTAGTCGATTACATCACTGCCAAAAGCGAGGGCTGCGATTGGCCGCTGGGAGGAGTTGGTGGCCCCTCCCCCCTCGACTCTCCCTCTGTCTCAAAGGTGTTTTCAGTGTCTGAGAGCCGCCGCTGCTGCTACTGCTGCTGCACGCAGGAGGACAAACCCACGCTTTCATTCTCCACCTCCCTCCATCTCTCCCCTCTGCTTCCTCTCACTGCAGCGCTGTCTGCTCCACCTCCTCATTGTGCTGGGTCTTCAGACGGAGCGCGTGTGTGTGTTTGACTGAACGGAGGATGGGTGGATTCCTGAAAGAAGGGAAGGTGTGATATCTGAAGACAGTGACAGATGGATGGATGGGGAGAAAACAGAAGCATGGTGCTGCCACCGCGGTGCGTCTGCTGAGCCAGCGATCTCTGCTGCCACACTGGTGAAACATTGAAAGAGAGAGAGAGAGAGAGAGGGGGACTCTGCAGTTGGTCTCCTATGTCGCTTGCCCTCCATCGCTCAGTCCTGCTGTCTTGGAAGCGTTTAGGGAGAGAAGGATAGGAAGTCTTCCTGTCTCTGTTGAGACTACAGCCAAATCTGGAATTATTTTTGACAATATTACAAGCTGTTGTGTGGCTGAAGCTCAGGTCTGAACTATTTGAGATTACTTTATTCACTTACAAGCTCATTTATTCAAGTGGAAACTTGTTGTGCACTCTTTAAACCGGACTCAACTCAACTGAAGCTTTACACTGCTGTAGAGTTTATTGTCCCGGACACAACCTAATCTTGTTGAAACTCAAGCTCTTCACACTGCGAAAAAGCTCAAACTCTTGATTTCCTCACTTGAAGACAACTCGGTTCATCTGGAAACTCTTTCAACCACTTTGGAAACTCTGATTTTTCTCTGAGTTTCTCCTCGATGCCTTTGTGGACTCGTTTCTTTTAAATCTTCCACTGTTCGCTCTGGAGTTTCCTCATGGAGCTTCAGAGCACCACCAGCGGTCTCCCCGGCCCCCTCTCCCCGACTCTGGACTACGGCGGCCCGTTGTCGGGTGGCCCCGGCCCATCTCATGACACCAGCCCGGGCCGGGGGACGAGCCCCAGCCTCAGCCCCGTCAGGGGGCCCAGCCCCGGGTTCACCGGCCAGGCTGCCTTCAACTACAACCAGCTGGAGGGGAGGTTTAAACAGCTTCAAGGTAAGATGGGCACTCAACTCGGAATTCTGTCGAAATGTCCCGAGAAGGATCGTGTGAAGGGAGAGCTCAGTGAAATCGACCTGCGACATATCTTTGGATTTTCACACTTGGAAGCACTTAGTTGCCGGTCTCATCCAGACAGTGACTTCAGTGAAACAGTAGAAACAGCTTGAATTCCTCGAAAAGAAAAGACTTCTGGAGGTTTAGAGTCAACACACCAGATGAGAGCAACCGCAGCTTTTTAGGATGTTTTACAAAGTAATCCATGAAGTTTAAAAGGTGCAAACACAGCAAAGCTGGAAGTTAACTTCACGAGAAACATAAACAACTCGCACAGATGAAAAGAAGTCTGAATACACTTAGATTATATCTACTCTTGATGTCGTTAACAATCACAAACGTAACGAAGGTGAATGCAATGTTTTAAAAGATGGAAAGAAACTAAGAAAATGTACTTGTGACTGCAGTTAGGTTTTTTTAAAGTTTCATTTAACGCACAAGCTGAAATGTGATAGTCCCAAGTTCATCATGTTAACTCATTGCGGTGCAATACTTTGTGTGGATGAATCTTATGTCAGCAAACTCTCTGTATCAGAGCCCCACCCTGCCTCTCATTCACACAGTCACACTGATAATGCTGATCAGCATTGGGACTGCTGGGTATTTAGTGCCTTGCTGGAGGGGCAAGGGGCCGCTGAAAGACAGTCAGCTCTCACACCCAGATTCTTTCAGATGGTTGTGATGTGACCAGCGAGCCTCCAGCCAGTAATGCTCTCAGTCAGTCGTATAATCAACTGGGTGTCGGCTGAGAAATGTCCAAGTAGTTTAGTCATTTGTCATATTTTATTAACGGGGAATGCGTTATTCATTTCTGGACAATGATTCACAACCATGCTTTTCTGACTGCATTCATTTAAAAAAAATATATAAAAACATTCACACAACCAACAAGTTTATGTACAATATCCTTAAATCAAAACTTTATCCTAGGCCTCCCTACGATCCGTACAGTATCTTTATCTTCAGACCCCTGAGCCCAGGTTTTATGAGCATGAGGACCTCCACATACAATATGGTAATCCTTCAGCGCAGGGATCGGATACTGCTCTCTGTTGCTGCTGGCTGGCTTTAGGAATAAATAAAGACACTGGTTTACACAAGTGCACATCATTTTATTTCGATCAATATCGTCTGGACCTTGCACCTAATCCAAGATGGTCTAGTGTTTACTCTTCAACTTGCATTAAAGTGTGCAAACTACTTCCTCATCTAATTCATGCAAACACAACTCTTAAGGTAAAGCGCCCTGATAAGAGCGTCTACGAACTGACAGCTTCACAGCTTCAAACTGAAGTTCATCTCTTTTCTTTCCCTTTTGTGCAACTAATATTCATACAGTAGAAACACAATGTCCCAACTCATCTGCTTTTGGCCAATAACCTTCAGAACAAAGAAGTATTCTACAGCTCACACCCCACAAGAAGCTATCAAAAGCTCATCAATGGACGTCCTCATCAATGGAAGGTTTTTAATACCAAAACCGTCTCTTCGGAGAAGCACTTGAGTGTAGAACTATCGGCAGTCTGAATTTAGCTGAAGGCTAATGGAGCCGGTTTACTGATCGCAGCCTCATCATCATGCTGATGCCCAGAAACCTTCAGTGTCCCCTGAGGTCCCTCGTATCTAAAAGTAGCCTGCTGGCTGGAGGCCAGGTGGAGGTGGTTTCTGCAGGTTTGTGGGGCTGCAAGCTAAGAACTGTTAGATTCAGGAAACGCAATGTGGCTTTGAGTCGATGTTTTGATTTTAAAAAGAGAAGATGAGTCAGCGTGTCGGTGTCCCCTGAAGATCTTCCTGCTCGTGAAGGCCTCTGGTGTTCTGAAACAGGAAACACTTGTTTTCGTTCTACGATCCAATAGGAACCAATTTGCACCTCGAGGTCCTTCAGGTGAACAGATCTTTCTGAGCCGAACGGCACGTTGTCAGATGTTCATAGAAGCATTGCACGGTGTCGTCGAAGGTCTTATCAACAGTTTTTACTTTGAGTTTGTGTGTTTGGAGAAGGGTGGGTTATTGTGTTATCTGTTCAGGATCATAAAGTTTTAGTGCTGAGATGTGGGTGGATTTATTTGTTGTTGGTGCAGTGGTACAAAGCCGGACTTCAGGAGGGAGTGAAGAGGACCTTCAAGTTTGTTTTTGCTTCTTCTTCCACATTATAATGCACTTCTGTCCATCACATGTTCCAAATCCCCAAAAATATGTCCTCATGTAGCTTCAGGTCAAAGCTTGCACAGTGAACCGCTTAAAAAATGGAAGCAGTGCATTCAGCCAGATTTTGGCAAAAACATTTTTTTGAGTAAATTGAGCATGTAGAGGGATTTTGATGGCTGTTTTGACACCTTGTGTCTGCTGTGGAAGCTTGTCACTACTATTGTCCCGTATGAATCCAAACTGGCAACAGCTGTGGTTCTCTGTGAAGGAGGAAAAAACAAACGTTCGATGAAAAGCGTTGGAGAAAAATCAATTCACATGAAAAACGGTTTTTGTCCTACGAGTCTGAATCAATTCACAGAATCCAAAAATCAATTTGTCTGTTTGATCAAATTATTTCTGCAAAACTAAGTTACAAGGATGCAGTGCAGCACCCGGTCGGTGTGCAGCTCGCACACGTTTACGTTCTCTAGAGTTAATCTTTAATGAAGGCAGTGTTTAGGCACTTTGTGGATTTATTAACCTTATAATCATCTTTGCAAGGTGAAGGTAAAGTACTTTGTACCACTTATGCCGAGACTAACGTTGGTAAACGAAGTGGAGCGCCAGAGAAGCAGGCAGCCGCTTTACAGAATACTTGATATTTAAGAGACTTTGGATAGACTTTTAGTGAATATAGAGTTTCATGAAGTTGTCAGAAGTCTTCCAGCTTTCAGAAGGCGCTCTTCAGCTTCAGTAGGTGTATTGTGTTATATATTATATAATATATATTATTCATTTAATTATTGTTCAAGCACCAAAAGTGACCACTTTGGAGGACCAGGACCATATTCTATATATTATTAATTTATTGAAACATTGTGTGCAATAGTCCACCTTCTACCTTCTCTTCCCCTTTCTCTGTTACTCTCTACCACACATATAGCGAGCAACTCAGTGCTCAGTGCTCGTGTCTAATTATCAGTTTAGAAGTCAAATGTTATGCTCTGTATGTCGTACAGGGAACCTTTAAAGACAAGAAACCCGCCCTGGTCTTTGTGAAACCCTAATTGTCCCTTGAGACTCTTTAACTTCTCAGATTAGATGGCCCTCAGACAGATGACGGGTCTGGGAGTTGGTTTTTATGAGGGCCGTTGCGACGTGTTTGAGTGGATATAAATTCGGGGGTTGTCCGTCTGTGGTTCAGAGCAGCGGTTCGTATCCTAAAAGACTGCTGGTTTAAATCCCAGCGGGGTGATGAATATAGGAGCAGTGGGTGATTATTGCACTGCAAAGAGCTCCAGATGTGAGAGTGAGGAGACTGAAGGAGCGGCACTTCCTCCTCGTTAGGCCGAGTATTGAGCGAACGTCCCCCGAAAGAAGTCAAGCAATCATGGAGGGAAAGAAGTCATCAAACTGCCTTCTGAACTGACTCATGGGAGGTTTTTATGCGGAGTCTGTTAGATGCTGACTGATGTGAGCTGAACGAGTCAGGAGAACAGTGATGGAGTGTTGGGAGCTACAGCTTCTCTGTCACCTGTTGTCTGAAGTGTGATGTAGTTTTGGTTGTGTCATATTTGGTGGTCGGAACTCATTGCTGTTGTGTCTGGACTGAATATTAGAGGATTAGAGGATGAAAAACCAACATTTTGTTCCTAAAAATATCAGTCTGCTTTCACAAATTTTCATCCATGTAAACAAACATTTGACGGCAGCAGAAACGATAAAAATAATTTATTTCCCATCGATAGCCGCTTCCAATCCTTTGTTTTTTTTATTTGAGTTGGGCGTGGCTACACGCTGACAAACACATTTGAGTTATGGATGATGACAGAAAAGACTGTTAAACAGCAATAAATCATGAATTAATTTATGATTAAAACACACTAGCTTTCATGTCAGAACACGCACACACAGCGAACACACAGCCATGCTTACAAAACAATAACATCATCCCTCTCTGCTCCTCTGCTCTCATCATCCCCCTCTTTTCCTGTGTTGTCCCGAGTTAGCCAATCAGCGGACATCTTGGTGGTTTGGATGCCCCTGAGCTGTGCGTGTGTGAGAGGTGGGGGTGAAGATTAACAGAGGGGAGGGGTTTGTCTCAAATGGTCCAGAAGGCACAAAAATTGTCCAAACCACATCGTCCTCCCAGGTTGTTTTTGTCTGTCTGTCTAAAAGGTGTTCATCCACTCCTTCATCCTGAGTCTTCTTTCCTCTTCTCCTCTTTCTTCTCCTCCTCTACCTCATCAATGTTTCATGAGCTTCTGCAGAGCGTCTGTCATTGCCCCGATCATCCCCCTCTCCCTCCTTTCTCCTCTTCCCTCCCCCTCTTCCCTCCATCCATCCTCTTCCCTCCATCCATCCTCTTCCCTCCATCCATCCTCTTCCCTCCCTCCATCCTCTTCCCTCCCTCCATCCTCTTAGTGGAATTAAACGGAAGCTTCAGCCGTCTCGTCCTGATAAAAGTCACACAAAGGCGGGATGAGACACGCTTCACTCCTCCTCGACCAGGAGGAGTCAACGAGTCTCCACTCAGCAGCTTCTGACATAATCTGGTGATGCACTCTTCACACAAATGACAAAAAAATTTGCATTTCAGCGATGGTGTCTGTTTTTAAATGTAGTGAGCATTTGGAGGAACATACCAGCTTTAACAAAATAGTATTTGTCAATGAATTCTAATGTAACACAAGCAACACACACATTATAGACAAAGATGTAACAAATATACAGTATATACACCTTGTGTGTAGATGCCTCACCCATCCCTTAACCCAGTAACATGTATAAGATACAGTTGAACACATTTA